TAGTGTGTAATCAGAATTTCCTCTACAGTCATTCAGTCACACTTGATTTCACACTAGCACCTGTGCAGAACCAAAGCATGGGAGTTTGTTTATGCCCACATTATCTGCCTGCTATTGGTAAGATTTAAGGGAGCTTGTAAGTTGCTTTCTTCTAAAACAAACTGCAGTGTTATGAACCATGTGTGATAGTGTTTAAAAATGAGTCTAATGTTCAAAAGAAACAACATAAAAAGTGTTTCATACATTTAATGCTCAGACTGGAGCCTGGTGGTAGCCTTTTATTCTTTGGTGTGCAGCAGAAAAGCAAAAACAGAACAGTCATATTTCAGGAAGGGCTTATAGGTGTAGCAGGTAATTATCTTCTGAAACTGAAGCATCTGTAACTACTTTCTTCTCACTGTTTTCCTTTATAATCATGTAAGAGTAGACAGAAGTACAAGGGCTGCTCTGAGAGTAATGTCTCCTATTTTATTATGTTGGCCCACAAAGTCAGAAGTGGATGTTGGTGATATGGCAGTAGAGGTTGAACCTTCGTACAAATTTTCCATTCCATGTAGTTGCTGTGTGACAAATGGCAGCAGAGGGGCGATCTGACACAATTGTGTCTGACATGAAAGTGTGGGTGAAGCAAAGGTGTGGCGTTGAATTCCTCCATGCACCCATTGACATTCACTGACACTTGCATAATGTTTGTGGAGATGAAAGAGTGAATGTGAGTGTAGTGAGGTGGTGGGTGGTGTGTTTCAGTAGTAGCAACGCTGGGTCACTTCCACTGGTTACGAGTTACGAGTGTGGCATGTAGATGCTTGTTCATCACCAGTGAAAATGCATGGTTGAAGATGGTAACTACATTGAAAAGCAGTGTTTTATAGCTGAGAGTTTGTTCTATCCAATAGTGTTATTGTGCTCTTTGTATCCGTTGTAGTTTCCATGGCAGTAAAAGAGGCATTTCTTTTGGAGCAACATACATACAGTTTTCTCTTTATACTGAAGAGAAATTCTGTTGTATATGTTACACCTACTTCTGTTTAATTGTTAGAAGAGACATAGGTGTTAGAAATTGCGTCCTCAATTTTTAGAGGCATACAAAGGGATCTTTTCTTTTACACAGTTCACTTGGTTTCTTTCCTCTAAAGGGAATAAAAACAAGAACAGTTTTAAACTTGGATGAGATTGAACTACTTTTTCTTTCCTTAGCCGAGAAAATAACTTTCTTCTGTTGCTGCATATCGTCTGTCTATTGTCAGCTCCACAAAACAGATTGTATGCACTGGATTTGCAGACTGCATTTCTTTAAAATTTATTGTTTCACTGCCTCTAGTCACGCTTCTGCTTCTCTTACACCAGCCCATTTGCCCAGTGTTACCATTTTGGGGAGAGCAGATTTCTTTGCAGCAGCTTCTGCCATCTGGAACCATCTTCTTTTATCTCCCTAGTTTGTCAGGACTCCAGAGCTTTTCAAATATATTCTGAAATTATAACCTTTTTCTTTTACCTGTTACTCATTGGGGTATGATTCTGTGACTCAGTGTCCTATTCAGTACTGAATGTTTTCACCCCACTGTTGTTTTCTGTGAGGTTTTTATGATAAGAAGTCAGGAAAATGATTAAATGCTCCATGAAAGTAAATGTTCTGAGAGAGATTCAGAACAACTGAAACCTATAGCCCCATATCTACTTTCTCCCTACTGAGAAAAGAACATTGTCAGCCTCTGTTTTTGTAGCTTTCAGCGTGGTGTATTTGTTTGACCATGCTGTCAAGTTGCTTTTCCTAAATTCTCAGCATCATTTTCACATCATATGGAGAATGCTTAAGCTTGATATTTTGCATTTTCCTGGGAAAGCCGAGAGAGCACAGTTTCTAGAACTGAATATCTTAGTTTGAATTTCTTAACTTACCCTGGTTCTAAAAGCTTTTAACAAAGTTTTGTTGTTTATGAAAAACATGACTTTGTGAGATACATCCTTTGTATGGCTGTGGTGCTCTGTAGCTCCCGCTGTATAGGTATCTCTTTAAGATATTGAAAATGTGGAGTTTATGTTCATTCATTATGCAGCAATTTCTGGCACTACAGAAAATAACAAGGTGGAGTACTGCAATGCATTTGGTACTGTGACAGAATAAGATGATCATCTTAAGATGTACTGGAGAGGAAACGAAAAAATAACGTTACCTGTCATATAAGTAAGGACGCTGCAGTACAGAAGTCACGTCTTAGCAGAGGTTTGCAATTAGCTATCTTGAGCCATTGAAAAAAGGAAGCAATGTGTTCAGGTGTGGGCAATATCAAGAGCCTTGAATTAGGGAAGTGACTTTTTATTCTTAACTTAGTGATACACCTCAATTTGTAGATCAGGTAGCTGTTGGGTGCTTGATTTTTCTTCTAGAGTGCAGTGGCTGCAGTGAAATACTGCGTTTGTGAGCTTTGCTAGAAGACCATAGCAAATGCACTGGTATGGTCCATTTTGCAAAGAAAATCTCCTGCTAAGTGAAGAGCTGGGGGAAAAGCACTCCCTCTCACTTGCCCAACTCATAGGTTCGTAATTTTGAAACCAGTGTGCAGTGCCAGTCTGTGTTATCTGGAACGTACAGCAAGCTCAGAACATCTGGATACAATAAAGGGAGTCACTTTACTTGTTTCATATTGAACTTTGGTTACAGAGGAACTTTTGTAAGTTATTTACTTTGAATAGTTTTCATCCTTGAACATCTTCATGTGTTGCAGGTGTTTTTTTAAAGAGCTTATGATTTCCATGTGTTAGCCCATTTTTTGTCAGCTCTGTCAGTTGTACGAATGAGCTGATGTGCGTTTTCTCATTCACATTGATATTAAATGTAAATGCAGACACTGAAAAATGATTCCTTTAGACATTTTTCATTTTATTGGGCAGTAGGGGAGCCTAGAGGTTCAGGAAAACATTTTGTTGCAAGTAATATTCTCAAGAGAAGTGAATAAGTGCATTTCATACATTATAAAATATATGAAGTAGTCAAATTAAATAAATATATCCATTCTGATGATACCTCAGAAACAGGTGCAAGAAGAGTCTGTAGTCTTGGGCTTGAAAAAAAAAAAAGCTTATAATCTTATGTCATGTATTAAAATGTTTATTGTCTTCCTAGATTTAAAAAAAATTCCTTTAAAAAAAAAAGAAACCAACCTTCTTTCTTCTGTTGTAGTTTAACTCAGCACCTAAACACAGCACAGCCTTTTGCTCACTCACCCCAATGGTTCCACCACGCTATGAAGGTGGTAGCTCTTCCCTGCTGAACGGCTGGCCTGATCCCAGGCATGCTTCCATCACTCAACAACAACCAAAACATCATTGTGCTATTGATGTTGTTGCAGTTGAAACGAGGACATCTTCCTTGCCGTGCAAGGGCAAATTTGTGGCTCTGTCAAACACAGTGTGAGTTTTGCCTATGACTTAATTTAGGCCAGGATTTCCTTCCTAGTCTGTGTTACTTATAACTTCTTTGCGTAGGTAAGAATTTACATTTAATTGTATATCTGTCTCTGTTCATCTGAGTGACTAGATCATGAGAAAGGTGATAGGTGCATTGGTTCTTCTTACAATTTGTGTCTTTGAGGTTGGGAATCTTTGCCTAGTAGATGACAAATTACCGCACAGGATGAGCCATTTCAAGCCTTTACAACAACCCTTGGTTGAGCTGACAGGAATGTTTGTGCTGGAGCAGCTTGCTGTTGGAAAGTGCTGATTAAACTGAATGAAAAAGCACAATGGGAAGGTGTCGATATGATGCTGAAAATGCCAGGAAAATCTCAGGCTTCTATCCTGACCAGCTGGCTGCATACTGGCCAGCTTTGCCTCCAGGCGTTTCTGGAAATTTATGTTGTACATGAAAATCCTTTTCTCTGATTTTTTGTTCCACTTTGGAAGAACAGAATGATTCAGAAATATGGAAGCTTTTGTGGCTCTCTGTTGTCCTGTCTCTGTAAATAAACTTTCACATGTAGTAACACTGCAGCTTTCTCAAAGGATACTGCTGATTGTTGGAGTGGAAAAAGTTATTTAGGAAGTGATGTGACTTGATTTTTACCATTCTAGCCAAGAATTTCTGTTGCCATATCCCATTAGCACCTCATAGTTGTGTTATTTTAAATGTGAATCTTTTGTATTAATGGTTTTCTGAGAAGCCTCTTAGATATGTTCAAACTTGCTTAATTTTTTACATCCTCTATGCAGACATATAACTCTCTATTAAACACTCCTTGGCCATAGGGTAGTTTTGTTTTTTCTTTGTTTACCCTCTGTTCCAAATGCTTGGTGATATTTTATGCTTTAATTCAGGTCCTTCTGGCTGATCATGCTTCCTGTATTGGTTGCTTACAGTATCAAGTAGATCAGTTATTGACTGTCAGTTCAGAAAATCGAAAGTGATAGTAATTTTGTCACTTGAGTACAATTGAAACGTTCTTTGAAGAAAAAAAAGTGTCTCTATTCTTTTTCTCCTGTGTTTTTGTGTTTTTCAGGAGTCGGTTCTGTAACATGTAGTCTTTTTTATTTTGTCCTCACTTGGCGGTATCTGTCCCATCTCTTTTTCAGTCCTTGTGATCTGCAAGATGTGGTGCTTGTTCCCAGTTCAATATCTGAAACAATTTCCTTCTCCGATAAGAATCCTGACGTATGATTGTGTCTCCAGTCAGCGAACTACTTTCTAAGTTAGAATCTTTGGAGAGATAAATGTTAGGCAAAAAAGTGGTGGAAAAGTAACTGATTTCTAATATAGTATCTTCTCTCATTGCACTAGTGGTTTTGGTTTTAAGTGAAATAGGAAGTGAAATGGTTTTAAGTGGAATAGGTGAACGGTTGGACTGGATGATCTTTTAGGTCTTTTTCAACCTTGGTGATTCTATGATTCTATGATTCTATGAAAAGATTATAATAATATGTAATTTCAGTTAAACATCTTTTGTTGTTGTTGTTGTTGTCCTGCAGTATTGAGACTAACCACAGTTCTGTTTTTTCTTTTACAGGTTGCCTTTCTGAAGCTGTGAAGATCTCAGTTACCTATGTAGAAAACTCTTCTCAAATTCCCTTCCATCAGACACATACAGAAACCTTCCGATGATGTGACACCTGAAAGAAAATCTCCTGGCAGTACAAAGCAGGATGAGCTATGGCACACATTATTCTTTCTATCTGGAAGAGATTCACAGCCAAAGACGGAGTTAGCTTTTACATCCAGTACATTCTTAGATGTTGTTGTAAGAGTGACTGCTCACATCAAGCTGGACTAAGTTGTATGTAGTCAATACTACCTTTGTCAGACAGTATTGGGAGTCCTAAAAAGACAGGCAGCAAAGAAGGGATCTAAAATATTTAATGTTATGGATGCTGAAGTGTTCTGTTCTTTCTTTGCTCTAATAAACTTAGAAGGCCGACTTTAAAATACATGTTTAACAAAAACTAGATTTTGTGTGTTTATCATGTTTATTATTTCTGCATTAATGTTTACCTTCCTTCTTGTGAGTGAAGAAAGACCGTGTTCATGTTAGTATACCATATGTAATATTTTGGGAAACTGATAATGTTTTGAAGAATCAAGACTTGATGGTTGTTTGAACTAATTATTCCTTCAGCTTCAAAAAAGGGTATCCCCATGAGGGCTGCCTTTTCAGAAACTGCCAGAAATGAAAGATTATTGTCCATTTTTGCTCTGCGTGCTTACCTGCTTTTCACAGGAGTTTTTTCACTGGGCACAGAATCTGTTACCATTTTTGTTTTTGGAGTGAGTTGGATTTCTGTGACTACTCAGAATGTGACTGAGCAATTGCACAGAAAATCTTTCCCAATCTGTTGAAATGACCCCTATTATGGTTTTGCAAATACAGAGCTATCTTAGGTCACAAAATATGTGCTTTTGGGGTTAAGTCTCTGTCACATCCTGCTTCATTTGCTACTGTGACCATACAGAGTAAATCTGACATTAATATTATATTTGGTTGCAGAGTGATGTGCGTAGACACTTCATCAGTTTTTGGGAACAAGGAAAAGCCTTCTGGAGATGAAGAAACATGCATCAGCCCCATCCTGCCGTGCTCCTGCTGTGGCAGTGCTACAGCTGAGCAAAATCCTGCAAATCCTAAGCAAATCTTGAGGGAGCACCAAGCCCAGCATGTACACTGATAACACTGAGCCTTTTAGGAGCTTGCCTCCGGCCCTCCTGCTTGCACGTACTTAAAGCTGCTGCTTTTTTTAATTTTTTTATTTTTTATTTTACACCCTTGTGCATTGGTGTACAGGGTCTGACTGGGATGGAGTTAACAACTTTTGTAGCTACCATGCTACAGGTTGGATTTGTGGCTCCAACAGTGCAGATAACGCACTGCTGTTCTGGCTGCTGCTGAGGAGTGCTTGCACAGCACCAAGTCTGGGCCTTTTTATTTCCCCCTCACACCTTTCCCTCAGTGAACAGACTGCTGTTGAGCAGGAAGCTGGGAGAGACCACAGCAGAGACAGGTGGTCTCAGCTGGCCATAGGGTTTGGGTACATATGTAGCTTGCTTACCCTTAAAGCATGTAAACAAACACCATGGAGATAGGAAACTGCTCCAGACAGTAGCTGGCTGCCAGCTGTTTTTTTGTTTTTTGTTTTAAGAAAAATTTGATCCTACTTATTGCTTTCTCTGTTTTCCCCATTGTTTTGTATCTGTTACACTGCGTTTTTTTTTTTTTCAGGGCAGAAAGTATGTTTATTTTACTTTCTATAGTGTCAAGTACAGCCTCAGTCTTAAAGCTGTGATAATAAATCAGCTGTGACGTTAGGAAGTACCCACTCACATTAACGGAGATAGATGTGCCTCCTCTACTAATGTGCAGTTTCCAAACAGTGTAAGGCAACAAGAAGCTATTTAAAATGTCAGCTTTAATTTTTACATGCTATCAAGTTGTAAAGATTGCTATTGCAAAACACCTCCTATGTGTCAGACAAGGGGTGTTCTCCATTAGCACCAATGGACAACAGTATTGTTCCTATCATTAGCAGGTCAAGTGTAGAGCTTGTTACCTTCTTTAAACAAGCTTGACCATTATAATGAACTGGGATAGCTAAGCTGTCATACCAAATTAAGTCTCAATTATTTGGTGGTTATTTTATCTCCAAAAGTAGGCTTTCTAGTTTAGTTTCTATCACCTCCAGTGTAGGCTAGGATATACTGAATAATATTGACAAAAGGATTGATGCTGGTCTTGCAATGTGAGCTGAAGGGCAAGTTCTGTCTTGCCTCTGCTTCACTTTTTTGTGTGGAAAACTTTGTAGATATAAGGAACAGCTTTAATTAAAATTTACAGTACATGTTTTTGCACTTAATATTGGATTTAAATGCAAGTGTGTTTCAGTAATTCTTTCTGTTTTGCTGCCTTCATTGTTGGTCCTCCAGAACATCACTATGATGTCAATTTTAGACTTTGCATTCTTTCATTTCTCTCCTAGCCAACTCTGTTCCATTGTAAATGACAGATTTCTTGTTTGAGGTACTGCGTCAGCTTATTTGCATTGTTCCTTTCAGTTCCCCTCCAGCTTTTTATCTTTTTTTCGAAGCACTGCAAAGTCCTCAGATGGACAAGTTACAGAAACATTGCACAACGCTGTCTTCACTAGACTTCTTCAGTTTCTTTCAAAATGGGCTGAATTGCCTCATAGCAGATGCCAGGGAGCTTTTAGCAATTTTCACTGAGTATCAGGAATTTTGCTGGTCCACATGCTATAACCACTCATTAGCAACGTTGTGTCTTTGAATATCTTACTGTGACAGGCAAGTGTGATATTTCTGTTATTGCAGACAGCAGATGCTGTGTTCAGATCTCATGGTGCTATAGTTCAGGAAAGTTAGATAGCATTCTTTTAATGATAACCATGAATATTTGTCTAACTGCTAATTGTGCATAATGGCTCTTGCTTTGTCCCTGTCCAGTTGTCTTACACACTGGATTGCATTGGTCGTTATATTACATGCTCAGTAATGGATGCTCCTTCTATCTACTTGTATTCCATGATGATATAAATGCCTATCAATTTCTCATTGTAAATATTAGAAAACAGTTTATTTTATAATATAAAATGTCATTTTAACTGGCATGTTTTTGATCACTTCTTCAAGGATGTGAAGAATTTTGTTGTGTGTCTTTTTCTGTGATAACAGAGGAGGCTGTGGCTGAGTTCTTTGTTTTGTTAGTGACAGCTCCAACAGCTAGGGGGTTGGAAAAGAGACTCTATACCTTAATTATTTACATATGTTAATTACACCATAATTGGCTGGCTGTCTTTTGGCTGCATGCATTTTCTTACTGGTTTGCCTGTATCATTCCGGGGGGGGC